GCAGTAGTAGTAGTAGTAGTAGTAGTAATAGTGAAGTAATAGAAGTAGTAGTAGTAGTAGTAGTAGTAGTAATAATAGTAGTAGTAGTAGTAGTAGTCGTAGTAGTCGTAGTAATCGTAGTAGTAGTAGTAGTAGTAGTAGTAGTAGTAGTAGTGGTAGTAGTAGTAGTAGTAGTAGTAGTAGTAGTAGTAGTTGCAGTTGTAGTTGTAGTTGTAGCTGTAGCAGCAGCAGCAGGAGGAGCAGTGGTAGTAGTTGTGGTAGTGTCCTGGTAGTTGTAGTAATAGTAGTAGTAGGAGTAGTAGTCGTCGGCGTCGTAGTACGGGCAGGAGTACTCGTCCTTCGCCGGTGTCGTCCTCGTCGTTGCCACAGTAGGACCATACGAAATGTCAGTCTAGTGTAGCATGCAGAACTGGAGTAGTAATCAGACTCCAGATGTCGCAGGCAACGCTGGACGAAGACTTCTCGCTGCAGGTTGCCCGTGCTTTTAGTGCAGATGCCGCTTGATCGTCGTTTTTGTCATGGCAAAATGAACTCGGGCGGACTGAACCCCTAGCGATACCATCTACGAATGTACCTGATTCGGGACCTCCCGTCGGTTCCAATAGGCCGCGACCTGTACAGCGCCATAAGATTTTTGTTGGCGCTGGGTCTTCTGTTTGCGTGGGTCTTGCACAGACGTTCCCTTTCGGATCCTTTCGGCACTTCATGGGGGGTGTTGACAAGTAGGTCTCGCTTGCAGGGTTTCTTGAGCTGTGTTGTAACACAAGACGCAGTGATGACTTTGGTTGCAGTGCATGGGGGCATGCTGTGGGCATAGAGCATAGTTTGCTTGCTCTTACATCTTTGTCAGCGGTTATGCCGTACAGCCGGGTGAGTGAGATCGTCAGATAGTCTCATTGTAACATGGCAAGTACATCGCATGTGCATGTGCTAGTAGATGCAAGATTTGGGACAGTAAAGCGCTACACTGCTACATTAAAGGGCCATGACAATGAACCTGTGCAGTTTGCACCAACCACCGAGCAGACACTATAATGTATCTACAGCCATGCCAGTCAGTTCCTAGGTTCTCGCACGCCAAGGATGGAGTTATAGTTTAGGGGGTGTCAATGACTGGGAGTTCTCAAGGGGTTGCGACTGCAGGGTTTGACGCGCTTCCGAGAGCCTACCGAGACTCTTTTGTCAAGCTTTGAGCTCTCCAGTCCTCTTTCACACCGAGGCCCGGCACTGTTGGGCGGAAATGCCGATCAAGTCCCACAGTTCCCAGGCTCCAAGATCCGGGATCTGAAACCCTATTCCCGGGGTCCAAAGATACGAATTTCAATGATCCCAAGGCAGGAGATAAGCATGGGACCTGCAGACAGGATGTCTTCGCAGAGGAGCGCTTCGCCTACATGTGGAGGATCGCGCGTGGACCTCATTCCTAGATGATCTCCAGTAGCATGTTCATCGTCGTGGTTATCTACTGTAGGCATTGTAGGGTTTCTTCATTTTTTCCCGACAGCGTGGCGAAGTTTTGCAGGATGGCATGATGTGATGACGTTGCTGTGATGTTTTTTGGCCATGGAGGTTTTGTGAGATGCCTTGTGCAATTTCTGACAATTTGTTTAACGCACGAGGCAGGGGTCGCGAGAGTCGGGGCGCATCGTCAAATGGCTCTGCCCGTGTTCCTCGAATTTGTTAACCCTCTCTTGGCCCCCGGCATGTCTGCGCCGTTGGATGGCGCTGCGCATGTGTTACGGTGACAATTCGGGTATACCGAATGAAAACCATCTGCCTGATCCCGGGTTGTCCCCGGCGCCATTGTAAATTCCAATACGTACGCATGTTGATGACTCCTGCCAGTACTTTCTGGAAGCAGTTTGGCCATCTTTCGCGAATTCCAGTACTGGCTTTGGGGGACGTGGTCTCGAATCCCGCAACTGCAGGGTGAAGCGGGTCTTTGGCCCTGTTGCCGGCTCTCTGCAGAATTTTGGTCGAAGGTGGAAGTCGGTAGACGGGATTCATTTGGGGGTGTGTAGCAGTTTTAATAGAAAGGCATATATCAGACAAGGGCTTAGAGAAAGGTTTATGGAAAGCCTAACGAATGGCCTATGGAAGGGCTCTGCAGACGTGTTTTATAGAGGGGCTTTACTGCAGGTTCATTTTCAGAAGACTCTATAGAGTGCTACCTTACTACATGAGGGCTGGATGGATGCACGGATGGATGCATGGATGGACAGACGGATGGACGACGGACGGAGGGATGGAGGGACGGGGGGAGGCAGGGGTGGATGGATGGATCAGTGGCTGGCTGGATGGATGGAGGAATGGATGCATGGACGAAGCCGCCTTGCTTTAAATGCTTTCGAGACACTTGCTCTCCAGTTTGGGCGTCTGCAATGCTGTCTCAAGCCCCAAGCCGCGCAATGGCACCATTGACAATGACCCGCATAACCGGAACTCGAGAGCCCACTACAACTTCGACACCGCGAGCGCAAAACTTGCAGACACTGGATGCAGCCGGTGTGGTCTACACCCGGAAGTTCCGGAACTGTGAAGAAGATTGCAGTCCCTCTTCTTAGCAAACAAGATAAACAAGGTTAGAGCCGGGCGTAGACGGTTTTGGTCAAAGGGTAGAGTGAAAGAATTCTGGGAAGCCTTTCCTGGGAAGCTGCTGAGTGGTATTGTCCGCGTTATTGGTACGTGAGATTTCTGTAGATCTCACGGCTTGGACTATCATGATTATACGTTCCTTATCTGCGTAGTACCATTACAGTCTTGTTTCTCGCCGCACTTAGCTTCCACACAGGTTAAAGTTCCTTCATTGTTGTGTCTGGCTCATGTCTGACATTGGAATTCGGGTTTCTTGTGTAGTTTATGGTCTGACAATTCCTCTTTAGGGTCAAGGCGCGAGGGAGCCTCAGGCCGAAAGTGTTCTCAAGTGAGGCAGATGTTGAAGCTCCATGGGGTCTGCACACATGATAGCCCTAAACTGAGCACAAAAGATACTCACACCGAAACAGCAAGCTTGTCTCGATTTTGAGCAAGGTGCATGGAGGCAGTGGAGTTTCCGTGGCTAGCTCAGTTGTTGCAGATATTGCTGCTCAGGGCAGAAAGCTCGATCATCTTGACTCAGGCAGTTAGGTCTTGGCGATGTCGCAGAGACTTTCCCAAAAGATCGTGAGGCTCCAGTTCTTAAGCCCATAGACCCGACCGTCAAACCCGAACCCGTAAATCTTGAACCCCACACCCCGAAACCGCCTAAAGCAATTCTAAGCTGGCAGCAGGTGGAAGGTCCGGGAGTTCGACTTCTACGACAACGAGGTCTGCCGTGCTTCAGGAGTTCTGGTTTCGGGTGTATAGGAGTTAGGGATCACGGCTCAGGGTTCATGCTCTAGGACTCTAGGTCTGAGGTTCGTTCTGGGCGTCTGGGCTCTAAGCTTAGAGAGTTTGCGGATTTTGTCGGGCATCTCAATTGTGATGTGGGACTTCAGGATGTACCGAAGAAAAGCAGAGACTAGGCCGCTTCATGGCCAGGATCCATGCCTATTCATGCTTACGAAAGCCCACTGTCACATACTGTCACAGCGACCCCTCAAGCTAGCAAAGCTACTGCAGACCTCTACGGCTGAGGAACATGACCCCCAAACAAAAGAAGAACTGAGACGGGTAGCCCCAGAGTCGGTTCCCAACGCCAGGAGTGCTCCAGTTCTCTGCGGGGTGCAGCCCCTGGCTCAGAACGATCACTTACCTTTGGGGGGGGGGCCCTGGAGATGTAGTAGCAGTGTGGCAGTATTATTCCTTGTAGATAATGTCCTCCCCACCTATATGGGAGTTTCCGAAAATAGTGGGCCCTAATATAGTACCTTAAATGGTGGGATCCTTTTTGTAAGGACCCCAAAATAAGGTACCCCCTTCTTTCCGGAAACTCCCATAGAAATGTCACCGAGCCCAAGCCCTATCAAGGCAGGAGCCTCTAGGCCTCGCGGGAATCCGCATCTCCCCGAGTCTTTCGGGCTTGAGAGCTTCAGGGGTTTCTTTCACACGGACGAGGGAGGATCTCAAGGCTTTCCTGGGAGAGCCCCAAAAGCGAAGTATGATGTTATGCATATCTATATATGTATATATATATATATACATATCCATGAGCATCAGAAGTGTCCGAATCGTTTCCCTTTTGTGTACCGGAAGCCTGCGCCCTGAGTGTCATGTCGTTTAGAATTCTGTTATCGACGACAGGTCGATTCCGTGCTCCATGCTGCCTCCTCGTGCGCTCCCCAGACCGAGTGCTGTTGTTGGGCGTCACCGGGGTCTAGAGCGTTGCTTTCGGGTGAAGGGCTTGTCCCGGTTCGTAGGCCGATGAGTGATGAATGGGCCAGTCCCTTGATGTTCAAGGGGTTGGATCGGTGAGTCCAGCACAGACCCTATGTTTTTACTTCCGATTGGGGATTGTTTGCGGGTTCTTTCTACTAGTAGGTGTGATGTCAGGGGCTGGCTTCCATCATTTCTTTATGATGGACAGAGGCCGCCGCATGTCTACATGCTACGATGTACTGTACGCCTGTCTTCGCCGCAAGTAACCCCTCTTATCCGTGACAGTGCCACGTCCTTCAACCCACTGGCCAGGATCCCGAGGCCCAGAGCCTGTAGTACTGTATAGTCCTCTCCTAGACCCCGGAAGTGCCAAATCCTAACTGAAGCCGGAGAACCCTGAACCGGCGGAGGTCATGGCCTGCGGAAAATGCATACGATCAGAATGAGTTCACCATCTGGACTCCAGGGTGTGCTACCTTTCTGGTGTTCTGTTGCCAGGGTTTTATTTCAGGGTTTGGGAGTCCTTTTTGGTTTCTCGGGAGTATCCATTTTTGGGGGGTATAGACTACAGGACCGTATGGGGTTGCAGGAGAATCTCTGATCAGTCTTCCGGCACCATGACACAGGGATCTTTTTTTGGATCCGCCATCCGGAGGGCTACACACCAAACTTCCTTGATCCTTGCCTGCTTTCGCTTGACATCCGTTCTTGTCTTGTCCTTTCCAGGCCTCGGATAGCATTAGCATCAGCACTATTAGCCACAAGAATTTCAAGAGCGCAAGGAGCCCAAAATGCATGTAAAGACAATGCTGTAAACTCTGCACCAACCCGAAGAGACCCGACTCTTTAAGACTTGATGCCAGGCATCAAAAGAAAACTGCTGAAACGTGCAGTCGTTTTTAGGGTTTCGGCCGGAGGGAAACCCTATGTTCGAAACAGACCTTATTCTAAGCTCGAAAGCCTAAGCCCCTAATCACTTAGAGCCAGCTCAAGGACTACCAAGTGCGGCCAATGCTCCGGGTCGGAGGACCCGTTCTGCGCTTGCCGGTCAGAACCCTCGGCTGTGATGCAAGAGACTTCAGGGTCCAGGATATGCGTGCGCAGGGTATGTGGACATAGATCTGTGTAGCGCATATGCGCACGCCGATGGATTCCTTGGAGCGCCTGCCTTCGGTGCAGGTACATTGGCTAAGGCTAAGCAGTGGTTGACGATGTGCCTAATCCAGTCTGAACTGAGAACTGACTGTTAATGGAGGGAGCTCCAGTAGGACTCTACATCCAAAGTCTTCGACACGTATACTGGTCCCAAGGATTACACAGTGCATCACGATGTCATATATATATATATATAGATATGTATGTATGTATGTATGTATGTACGTATGTATGTATGTATGTATGTATGTATGTATGTATGTATGTATCGCGATGAGAAATGTAAACAAAGATAGATGTCCTTAACCAGTACTTTCTTGTACTATGTCTTCCATGCATCTTGCATGTAGACTCACATGGACGCGCGCACGCATTTGTACATGCAGATATACAAAGTCTACGCGAATGATCTTTGCTCGCGTTCACGTCCTGGGCCAGTCTGAACTCCGATTGGTCTTCACCAGACTAGCAACCCCAAGATAAAGTGGTCCGCGACATCCACAGCTCTTCTTGGCCTCATTATGGTAATAGTACAATTAGGAACAGGAGGAGCCTCAATGGCGACTTCCTCTAGTCAGACCCTAGTCGGTCCTTTCGATCTCCCATGTAACTGACTGCTACAGTTCAGCAGTTTGAGTCTGAACCAAGGCCGGGGGAAGCCTATGTTGGCCTCAGGCGCCATCCCTATGTTTGTTGTTCGGGGCTTAGGCTATGTATAGGTTTAAAGTACTGAAGGTCCACGCATTCAGGGAGTTTGGATTCAGGATCCTTAAATATTGCAGCAAGCAAGAACGTGTTAGGAACATTAACAGTTTTTCGTTGCCGGAGAGCTTATGAGTCACGGTGCAGCGAAGCCAATGTAAGCAGTAGCAAGCGTCGTGCCTTGACAAGAAAAGTCGAGGCTAGAGGCTCAGGCCCCAAGTGGAAGGGCCTGGATCCCTTTACGTGAGGCCTACCTCAAGCGGGTGATGGGTGTTTCGTGCTTTCGATGTCGTGGGTTCAGCGGCTTCGTCTTTGCGGGTTAAGGGTTCAAGGTTCACGGCAGCGCGTGGAGACGAATGACTTCGGCGTATGGTTTGTGCGTCCATCGAAGGACTTCGGGAAATTGTTTCTGACCCGAACCCATCCCACCAAAAACCTTGAAGCGGCCCACCCGAAACTGTAGTTACACTGCAAGTCCTAAAGCCGAAATGAAGCCTTTTCGTTGTCAAACTTCTGGCTTTTGGTAGGATAATGCTATAAAGCCTTCCAGCTGTAAGTTCACACCGGTCTTTGCAAAGATTCCAACGGCGCGTGCGGCCCCGCTGCTTCCGCATCCTGCAGCTCGAGGAGAGCGGATTGAGCGTCTTTGCATGATCAAGTCAAATGCAATTCAACAGACCACGAAACCCCACTCCAATCATTAATTAAGGCCCCTACATTCCGCACTTGGAAGGGTTGAGCGGAATTATGTTGTTGCCGATGAGTGCTCGTGGTCAGCAGTCGCTTTCTTTGACTTCGAGGATCTGCAAGAGTGGATGTGCACACAGCTGTTCCACGCTTTTCCGGGCAGTGTCCTGAATTGTGCAACAGTGCAAAAGTGTAAACCTTGGGTTGCCAGTTTTTGAACCCCCCCCCACCGCTGCCCCGCTGCCCTACAATGCACTGCATCCCAAAGCCTGAAATCGTAAATCTCAGAGGCCTCTCGAAGCTGTCTCGCAGGAGGGAAGGGGCCTTTGCGGGCAGCTGGCCATCCACTTCAGCCGAAGCTCCAGACTCCAATTCACGATTTAGGGATATTTAGGGCCTTTGGGCTTCAGGGTTTGAAGGCTTCCGGCTTTCCAGAGATGTCGTAGGATGTACAGGCTAGAGCGACTATTGGTGACTATTGATGGATTGATTTGGGGTTGCAGGTCGATTCGGGATCCTGGGCCTTCACTCAAGGCGACGACACCGATCCTGACCAAGTTGCCGACTGGACTCTGAGGCTGAGGGTGTGGGGCTTGTGGAAGATTTGGGGGTTTCCGAAAATAGGGGACCCTAATATATAGTACCCTAATTAATGGGATCCCTATTATAAGGACCCCAAAGTAAGGTACCCTAATTTTCTGAAACTCCCATTTTGTCCCATAGCCCATGAATCAGAACTCCAGGACATCATTCCAAGCATGAGCATGACCAAGGAAATCCTGAGAACAATTCCTGCGCAGGCGGTCCTTTGATGGTGTTGGCAGTGACCTCCTGGGGGTGCTCGCTCCCCGTGGTGACGCATCAGAGACGAACCAGGCCGGATTTCGCAAGTCAGTGCTTCAGTGTGTAGATGTTTGTGCTCAGAGCTTTGCTGGCGCTGTACTCCGACAGGAAGAGATAGATAATCTACACACCGGTCTGAAGCGACGCTGGGACGGAGATGATGTGAACAATCCGTACTCCACTTATCCTGAACCCTGAACCTCCGATTGTCCACCTCATACCCTTTATACCCAAATCCAGAATACCTTCTCAAGCCCATCAGGGACCTGTGGAGACCTAGCAATCCACAAAACCCGAAGAAACACCTGGAAAAGCATCCACAAGAGCCCGTTGAATCCCTGCAGAGCCCAAGAATCCGTCCTCAGCGCAGGCCGCCTCCTGGAGCACCGGTCGGGGTCCTGAGCTAGACTCGCCGTTTTTGGGGCTCTTGGAGGGCTTCTTCTTGTCATTGTTATCTTAGTTTGCCCAATACCCAACCTTTAAACTTTTTGAGTTCTTGAAATTGTAGCAACCTGAAAGTCTAACCTTTTATTTCCCTGGCTTATTGGGGAAGTAAGTTATTGCTATGACTAATACTTTTATTGCTGTGACTTCTTTTTGTTATGATCTCCTTCTGATGATGTTGATTTAGGTCATTCTTACTATCATTATGGATTAGTATTAGTAGGAGCTTGTTAGGACTATTGTGCGTATTCTAATCATTACTAGGGTTTTCCTCGTTCTTATTCTGATTCTTGCTCTTAGAACTCTTATTGAGCTTCGGGAACCTAGTTAAGAAGCGTCAGACCGTTTAGGGGTTGGGCACTTAGGCACCCCAACCAAAATAAAGCATCACCATACGCCAGCGAGCCTCGGTGCTCCTGGGCTTATAGACTTGGAAAGCTTTGGGCTTATGGTTTAAGGGCTTTGGAGGTTTCTCTAAGCCCGAAATCTTTGTACCCCGCACCTGGGGCCCATCACCCTGAATCCGAAGCGCTCTCATCTCAAGCTGAGGCTCTGGGCCTTGAAGCTCGCGTGGATGGGGTCTATAAAAGACCTTGCATAATTAAGCTCCCGTAATCTAAATCATGAGATAGATTCTATTAGACAAGTCGCAGACCATGTATGGAACAGATGCGATGTATTGAGTGCTTTGCAGTGGGAAGGGTCCTAGTTATAGCATGATGCTAATCATGACTGACCTGGGCATCAACCGAAGGCTGAAGCTGGCATGCTCCTGCTCCCAACCCGTGGACATGTGACTGACGCCCCAAACTTTGGATTGTTGGGGGCTTATGTAATTAATGGTACCTGTAATGGGTCACAAACCGTATGGAGCTCTGAATCTAAGTCTAAGCACCGAGAACCCAAAGAGCGCAGGTTTAAATCCAGAACTCAGTTTTCCGGACCCGCCACCCTTCAAGAACCACGCAAACATTAGCGTCTACAAACACACCCACGGTTCGTATCAGGCGAGCAGGACTTGCTTTAAAGGTACCGTTTCGGGTGTGTAAAGCCTGCACTGTCCTCTTGACCGATACCCAAGAGTGGCTCCCAGGCTGGCTGGCCGTTTCGACGCTGCTGTTCGTAGCAGGCAGCGTTTGATGAAAGAGCCTGCCGGTAGTCTGCCAACCGATAAATGTCGCGCAGAAGCCCTTCCGCCTGAAACTCGCAGTGCCACATCCCTCGCACCCCGACCCAAGAGGCACGCAAAAGTGCAAAAGGCTTGAGGAGGCCTCAAACAGGCCGAATTAACCAGGAAGAAGCCGACGCCAACACTTGCCAAGGAAGGTTTGGGAGTTGTTGCTAATGTTCTTAGTCCGGTCATGAGTGTAGTGTGTCACCGCTGTGCGCAGTCCACGTGGTCGTCGGCGCAGTCGTCGTAGTAGTTGTAGTCGTAGTCGTAGTCGTAGTGGTAGCGGTGGTCGTCGTAGTCGTAGTCGTAGTAGTAGGAGAAGTAGTAGCAGCAGTAGCAGTAGGAGTAGCGTACGCGTAGACCTATAATGATTCGCGTCTACCGGGGTTGGGCAGATGTTTGGCGGTGCTCCTCTATGCTGCAAGCTAGAGCGATCTTCCGTTGTGCTAATGGCAAGCGCTTGCATGCGCTTGCAATCTTAAAGTTAGGGCTTTCTTCTCCATCACAGAGTTTCTATACCGAGCCGGAACAAGGAGTCCACGAGAGGCTCACGCATGTGACTATGGGTCAGCTTTTGGAGTGTAATAGGTCGAGTAAAGTTTAGGAGATTCCAAGGCAACGCTGGCAACCGGCTTTTGTACATACCCCACCTGTCACGAGTGGATGGCTTGATAATGCAAGTTGCTGCAGCCTCCCGAAGGGAGGAAGGCGGCTGCGACTGATCCAACTTCTACTGTGCACATTCCTGTCACCCTATGCCCTATATATGCTAGACGTTTGCGTTGCCCAATCTAGCCCGGGCTGCCGCTGAAACTCCGATTCAAAACTTCCGATTAACCGTCGTCGCTTGGCGGAAGCGGGACTGTGCATAGACAGTTGGGGAAGCGAGGGCTTGCACAGTTGCTGCGCGATGGAAACATTGGCTCCCAAATCCACCACGCCCGTGCACATTCGAAGCTTAACCTCTGCGCACCTCTAGAAGACATTCAACCCGCCCTTGCCTCATCCCGCACCCCCCACCCAGGAGCAGGTCGTTGTTGGATTGCTTTCGACGACAAGATTGCGCGGCGTCGATTTGGTGCAGGTTGTGGCGAAGCTGCGATGCTGGTGGTGGTGGCAGTCCGGATGGTAGCGGTAGTAGCTGAGTAGCAGAGTAGCAGAAGCGGCAGTTATTACCAGCAGGAGCAACAGCAGCGGCAGCAGCAGCAGCAGGAGTAGGAGTAGCAGCAGCAGCAGCTGGCAGTAGTCGTAGCCGTGGCAGCACCAGGGGGCATAGCAGCAGCAGTAGCAGTAGTCTCATCGTCGTAGCAGTCGTAGTCGTCGTAGTAGTTTTAGTCCTCGCAGCAGCAGTCACAGTCGCAGTCGCAGTAGCACTAGCAGCAGCAGCAGCAGTAGCATGCAGTAGCTGTAGTTGTAGCTGTAGCAGTAGCAGTAGCAGCAGTCGTGGTGGTAGTTGTAGTCGTAGTGCTAGTGCTAATGCTAGCGCTACTAGTACTAGTAGTAGTAGTAGTAGTAGTAGTAGTAGTAGTAGTAGTATAGTAGTAGTATAGTAGTAGTATAGTATAGTAGTAGTAGTAGTAGTAGTAGTAGTAGTAGTAGTAGTAGTAGTAGTAGAAGTGCTAGTAGTAGAAGTGCGCCAGGCTCGTTTGTGATGGATGCGTTTTTGCACGTGGTACAGTCCAGTTGAGGGGTCTCACAAGACATGCCAAGAGCCTTCAACTGCTGATCTGGCTCTCAGAAGACCAAGCTTCTCTGGCCCCAGCCCGGGCCTCGTGGCAGCATGTGGCCACTACCACTTCAGGCCATCGGATCCTAAGCTTCGGCCTGCAAAGTTGGAGTTCGGAATTCGTGGTCCCTGACGGTTCGGGGTTTATTTAGGTCTGTACATTTTGGGTGGAGGATTTGGGTCGAAGCTTCGGGCTTAAGGGGTTGTGGCTGAGTTGTGGGATCTGTCATACATCAGTATTGTCATCCAACTCGAAAGCCCGAACTCCGATTGCACGAGCTCGAAAAGCCTGCCACCTGGTATTCCAACATCCCGTAACATCCCGAGTAACCGTAGATCTGTAGCACCTGCAAACTGACTATTGCCCGATGCCTTTGTTCCTCATAACAGCACCTTTGCAGGGGCCGCCTGCTGCCTGGCCATGGATGGATGGCAAAGAGGCCTCTGGTAGATGCGGGGTTCCACCAAGAATCCAGCAGCATCCAGTGAGCACTGGTGTTCTTCATCCGATAGGAAACTCCAAGCTGTCTGAGCCATTTACCAAAGCCTGCCAGCACGTGAACAACATGAAGCAATTGAAAACGATGGTGCCGCAGCGATGCAGGCTGTGCCCGGAATTATACATATGACGATTTCCAACTCGTTGCCGGCAGCTATGGCTTACAGAAACGTTGACCTGTGGAGATCACGTGTCGTTTTCCCATGCTTTTGCCCCTTCATCCCCTTGGTTGTCATATACCGTTTTCAGGCGGGTGGAAGCGAGCCTAGAACCGAAACCCGCGGCTGTTGAGCTCTACATAGCTTTGTCTGTGGAGTTCAATGCAGGCAGTTGGGGAATTGTAGGGACTATGTACTACACCGCGGAAGCTGTGCACCTCCAAATTCCTGTCGGGTTCGCGCCCGCACCCGAATTCAAGCGCGGAGCCGAAACTCTCAGCCAAATCCATGAAACCCTGGGGAGTTCAAGCCGGGCAAGCGGAAACGTGAAAGGCTTCAAGGAAAATCCAAGTTTGCATGGGTCATTTCGGTAGAACGTAGTATTCAACCAACATGATGCCGCGGATGTGACTTAAGTCCATTCTTGTTGTGCAGCCCGAGCTTCCGCTGGACTACAGCCCAAGGGCCGTCGGGGTCCCAGATTGGGGTACAGGCTTGCGCGGTTGAGAGTAGCTCGGCACTGAGGAAGACTTCCGAGCATTTCTTGTTCGTGCTCGTTTCAGGGGCATGACTGGGCCGCCAATGTTTCACGGCGCACATTCTCGCTTACTATTTCTTCCGCAGCTTTCCGCCACAAAAGTCGGGAGACGGCCGTTCGCAACCTCAGGCAGTACCATGCCAAGCTCTACAGACGAAAGCCCTACATGATCTCTCAGTCTCTGGAACCTCAATCCAAGTACTTTGAACCCTAAAGATCCCCAGTGAAGCTCCATGCCGTGACCCTTGAAAGCCCAGACAATTAGACCATTCGACCTCAAGCTCCCAAATCCCTCACCCTTGAGCCCAAAATCACCAAACGAATCAATCAACAGGCCGCAGCGGGTGCCGGCTACAGCCCAACAAGTTCCATGCGACCCGGACAGCACCCTCAGAGGAATGTGGATTGATATGATCGCGTGTGTCTCTAGTCGAGGTCTTCAACCATGCATGTATGTATGAACGTGTGTACGCATGTATGTATGTATGTATGTATGTATGTATGTGTGTGTGTATGTATGTAATGTAATGTAATGTAATGTAATGTAATGTAATGTAAATGTAAATGTAAATGTAAATGTAAATGTAAATGTAAATGTAAATGTAAATGTAAATGTAAATGTAAATGTAAATGTACATGTACATGTACATGTACATGTACATGTAATGTAATG